GGTCGAGGAAATTGGAACAGCTGTTGATTAACATGAATGCTCTCTCTCTCTCTGTCTCTCTCTCTCTCTCTCTCTCTTTCTCTCTCTTTCTCTCTCTCTTTCTCTCTCTCATTGTACTCTTTCAGTAGAGGAGGAGGAAGAAGATGAGGAAATGATGGAGGCAAAACAAGGCCTGAGTTGGAGCAGCAGGATGAAGATGAAAACAGGGAAGCAAAGACGGTATGTATGGATGGATGATAGCAAGAAGTGAAACTCCTTTAAGCATGAAGTCATCCTAAATCACCAGATGAATTCCGGTTACTGGCGGTTGTTCCACGAACACAAAAGTTCCCTTTCTTTACCCCTTAGCGTCTTTCTTTCCTTAACTTTGCACATGTTGTTTGTCAAAGTGTCACGAAACTCTGTCACTTGTGTGTGACACCCTCTTCCAGTCTGTGGGTGTATCAGATGAAAGGGTGGGTGGGGGGGGGGGTTAAGGCGGGTCTGGCATATCAGCTCCATGGCATGTGAGGGTCAGGCCTGATTAAAAACCTGTCACTCGACCCCCTGACCACACTTCAAAGTGGAGAGGATTGAAGAAGTGTGTGTGTGTGTGTGTGTGTGCGCGTGCGCTTGCGAATGTGGAGGATTCATGTCGTAAAAAAATATGGATTGAAGTTCTTGGCCGGGGTTAAAAAACACAACACGCGACAGAAACACAGATGGATAAGACATATTCACATTCAGACGCATATACACCCTCGCTCGCACCGAGTGTGACTCAAACGCGCACATAGACAGATGTATGCACACACAAACACACAGTCATCCGTCTCCTCTCCATCTCAGCCTATTAGAAGGTCTGGCCTTTGATCTGTGCCACTCGATTCACGGGGTCTTTTCTGACAACTCGTAACAAATACAAAGGGATGTGGGGGATCAAAGTCAAGAGGCAGGATAAAGGCCGATATATAAGTGTGTGTGTGTGTGTGTGTGTGTGTGTGTGTGTGTCTGTGTGTGTGTGTGTGTGTGTGTGTCTGTGCGTGCTTGTGTGGGTAAAATTGCATATGCGCTTGGGGACAGTGACTTCAAAAACCGGACGACGTGCTGTGCAGCCATTACGTTCAAAGGGAGGCGGGCCGCTCAGAGGGCTTTGTTTTTCTCTTGTTTATGCACTTTTACTGTAGTCTTTATTAAAAGGTGCATCGGGCTGTTTGTAGCTTATTATGTTCTGCCTGGGATTCTGGTTTTGATACAGATGACATGAATGTTACTCTGAGATGCAGGTGAACCCTTCATTATTTTTAAGGGTTTTTAAGACAATAGCACAGTTATCTTACTTTATTACAAGAAGTGGTTTATAGTAATACAGTTATTATGCAATTCTTTAAATTTCTCATTTCAATTACATTTTCAAGCCAAGAGACCAATAAAATGATCTGGCTCCAGCTTCTCATTGAGGGGAACTTGCTGAATTTGTCTTAAAACTTTCATAATTGTCATGCCTTTGATACTATTGGTCTGAAGATGGAGGGAATTTAAAGATGGTAGGTTTGTTCTGTATCACTTCACATTTGAAAGAAGTGTCCTTGCTGATCTGTTGCTTGTATATCTCTCTCTATATATATATTTATTTGTTCCTTTCCGACAGGCTCGTTTCCTATGCTGAGGGAGCTGACAGAGGAGGAGAGGCAGCAGATCCTGCACTCCTCCGAGTTTCAGAACTTCTTCGACTGCAGCATCAGGGTGATGGAGAGAGCTCTGGCTGAAGACGGAAACATCTTCTTTGACTACAGCGGCAGAGACCTGGAGGACAAAGAGGGGTGAGCGGGGAGGAGGAAGGGAGGAGTGAAGTCTGTTTGGATGTGAGAGCAGCACATGTGAGCATTTACTTGGATGCCTCAAACTAAGAAAAATGTACTGACTCATGCCCACTGTGTCACTCTAGGGCTCCTTTGTTCTTCAAAATACATTTCTTCCTGTTGATGTCACACTCAGGGGAACCAGCAGTCCTCCTTTCTTAACCTCACATGACCCTGCATTGTAACTGGGTATAACATTTTGAGTTTCCTTCACCTTCTTCTCAAACTATTGAGATGAAGCACAACACACTACTCTGTGAAAAAAGAGTCAGTTCACAGCCAGACCTGACAAGAGACAAAGTTAAAAATCCTTGTCATCTTTGGAGTTAAAACGTATTACCTTGTAAGAATAAAGCATTCTAGTTAGGTACACAACTCTGACATATTTTGTCTTTAGAAATAAGCTACAATGATTCGAAATAGGAAGAACGTGTTTGAGGAAAAATGATTTTTAATTGTTTACGCTAGTTTGAATTTAAAACTATTTTATTCTTCTCTTTGAAGACATAATGTGTATTTCTGATACTCATCATGTCCATCTAATACAAAATAGCTTGGAAAAAGTTTTTTAAAAATAAACCCTCAAACGCTGAAGTCTGAGGAGGTCATAAAGAAATGTCTCGCTATCAGCAGTGAAGCCTTCAAATTAAGGTTATCAAAATGTTTAAGAGTCTGAAGATCAGAGCTGCTTGAATATGGCGCTCTGTTATTAAAGGAGGAAGCTGCTTTTACCAGCTCACTTCCAACATTGACCACCACAGCTTCAGAGGAGCATCACGCCTGTGGTCAGTGAGGGATTAGGTGAAGGCCCAGTGCTTTACATCACTCCTGCTTTTTTGTTCTCCTTTGACGTGCTATTTGAGGAATTGTTAGGTAAAGTAGATGATCTGATGGCAAGTGGTGAAGGACAGCTGGCAAACACATCTCAAAACATGGATGGCCTATTTTTTCTTTATTAGCCTTTTTCTTTCCATCACTAATTATCATCAGCAAATCCGGCGTGCATTCTAACATTTACCAGACTGAAGGTTTTTAAAACATTGAAACAAAGATTTACTTTTTATCTGTACTGTATTTCCTTCTGAAACGGGATACAACCAATCACAAGATAGAAGGCCGGGATGAGTTTGATTGGATTGAATGCTCCGGCAAAGCTTTTTAATAGGTCAGAAAATGTGTAAACGCCCCTGAGTGCAGGATGAGTCATCAAGCGTCAGACAGGACGGTTATTTTGATGTGAAAATATTCAGATCGGGCTTTCTTGTATAACTTTTTGCAGATAACAGCAGACATGTAACTCAGGAAAGCCGGATCAAAACTAGGAAAAAATATATTTTTCAATTCATGGGGACTTTTCAGACTACTTTTAACTTGATTGGTTGATTCTTTTGATTCTCATTGCCAGCATTTCTGATTTTTTTATATCTCATGATATGAATGAAATATAATATTTTTGCGGGGAATCAGTGAAAGATATTTCTTCTTTGAATCAGGGATCAGTGTCAGCTGTTTAAAGCTTTTATCCAAAAGTTTTGAGGGCGACTGTGCCTCAGTGGTAGAGTCTGTTGTTTTCAACAGGAAGGTCGTCGGTTCGAACCCCAGTTCCCGCAGCAACATGTTTGAGTTGTTCGAACCCCAAGCTTCTCCAGCTGCTTCGTTGGCAGTGAAAGAAAAAGTGCAAAAGTGCTTTGAGTAGTCAGAAGACTAGAAAAGCGCTATACAAGCTCAAGTCCATTTACTCTTACTCACTATGACTAAAACACGAAAAAATCCTGTTTGAACCTCCCTTTTTGCTGTGATCCATGACCCATGCAGGCTTTTGGTTGTCCTTCTTGGCATGTATCTTTTCACTCTGAGCAAAACTGTCGTTTTAAAGTCTGAAAGTAACCACTGACCGTTATCTCCACTGTCATCTTTCAGAGACTTGGGTAGCGGCTCCAGCCTCTCCTTCAGCAGACTCTTCTATGATGAACACTGGTCAAAACATCGTGTGATCACCTGCCTCGACTGGTCCCTTCAGGTGATCCCTGCAGCCCTCTGTTTGTCCGGTCAAATTCAAACGAAGCATGAAGAAGATTTTCTTCCATTTTACAAAAACATATCTTTTTAATTGTGTTTTAATTGATATCTGTCTCTCCTCCCTTTTTTCTCAAAGTATCCCGAGTTGCTGGTTGCCTCTTACAACAATAATGAAGATGCTCCACATGAACCAGATGGTGTTGCCCTCGTATGGAACATCAAATTTAAGAAAGCCACGCCAGAGTACATCTTTCACTGTCAGGTATGTGTTACTTATAAAGCATGGAATGAGATGCTGCAAGTTGTAAGTAAGATCTCAAGTATGACTTACATGTAAAAAAAAAAAAAAACATCATTGATGAAACACCTTGCATCTCAGAGTTGAAGGCATCATACTTCTCTGTCCTAGCCATCCATTAACAGCTTGTTCCTCTTTTGTACCCTATAAGTGCACCTTTGGGACAGACACATAAAGGCTGAAGGTTAGGGAAATGAAAGGCAGCTCCACATGCATCCGTTTGACCCTCCAGATTGGATTATAGCTGAGCTCTGCCACAGTAGGCCACTTTAAATGCAAGAATCCAAAGTTTTGGTGGGAAAGAAACCCATTGATGGGCGCGATGCTAATAGCAACTGACATGGAGAAAATGTTAGAGGGAGGGAGAGAGAGGAGAGAGGGGATGGAAGGATTGGGTGTGAGGGCTTCCCGGCTCCCATGAGACAGGCGAGGCCATACAGAGAGACGTCTTGGTAGTAATATGATGTGGCCTACCGCTTCCTAATCCGACGCTGCCACATGTGTGCGTTAGCCCACCCACATGGATGCTGTGTCTACTGTCAGCAGTGCTGAGTTTCACAATTTTTGACAAGTCTCCCTCACACATCACTGCAAACGAAGAACTACACCTCGAACAGTATTCATGTCTGTGTGTTACTGCTTAGAATGTCACAAACCTTATCAAACATTAAAAAGTTTAATAAAAAAAAGAGGGGACTCTTTCTGGTTCCCTTTTTCTGAACAGACACACCAAATTAGCATGCAGAAATATTTTGATATTGTTATACAAAGTTTACATTACAAGTCTATCACCATAGTAGATTTTTGTAAGTGCTCCGTTTTTTTTTTCCACTACACCATAA